AGAATTTTCGAGAACTTTGGAGAATGTTGCAAAAGCACCTATAAATTCGGCTTTTTAATGTAGGGCTTGTAAAAATGTCTATTAATAATAAAGTTTCACTAAATTACTAAATTTCCCTATTTTTCTTTACGCTGGTGAGGGGAGGTTAGTTTTCCAAAAATATAGATATAGGTAACCCTTGTCTATGTATTATTAATTTATTGTAAAGAAAATGATAATATTTATAAAACTAATACAAGTCTCGTTTCTTGTAAGTTTGTGTAATGAAAAACAAACTAAAAAACAACGTAGATATAGGTAGCAGTGGTAGCACCAAGAAATAAAACTCAAAAATCTTTAAATGCAAATACCTATATACAGGGTGTCTCACTAAGGTCGGCCAGGTATGATATTATGGAAACCATAGACCTTACATAACTTGAAACCGAATGCAGATATTGAATTGCGGTTTGCGCCAAAATGTAGATATTTTTTGCTCTTATCATGCCAACCGGATTTTTTATGAAAATTAGAAAAAACTGGATCTTGAATAAACAGCGCCCTCTAGAAGACAAGGTGGGAACTATCGACCCCGAACGAAGTGGTGTTCTTAATAACAATGAAATTCTCTTCCAAATAAGCCTAAATTGAATGAGTTTGGATGAGGGGTATGGAAGATACAGCAATTTCTAAAACTATTTTTTCACCAGCTTCCCCCACCCTTATTAGTGAAGATACGAAAAAAGCTTAATAACAAAAATAGCGCAAAAATTAATGAACTTTTGATTTCTGTTGTTGAAACAGTATCTTAATATAGCATTTTCTTGAGGAAATTTGAATTTTTAGCTATATCTTCGTAATTGCGCCCCCTAGCGGTCATCTTAGAAACTTGAAAATAATTTCCATCAATTTCTCTTGGCCGATTTAGTGAAGAAAAAAAAATCCCGAAGCCGTGAGGTATATGGTAACTTTTTTGTTGTTGTACAATTTCCTTTTGTTTTGGTTTGTTTGAGAAAGAAATCAACAGGCTAACGAATCAAAGTGAAACTTTTGACATTTGAAAAAAATTCCAAATGGCGGACGTCTTCAAAAATTGCCTAGTTTTGTATAGCGCCTGGGAACTTTTTCGTGACACTCTGTATAACTTTTTTTAATAAATTCCTAAAGTTCATCATTTTGCGAACATTTTGACTTCGACAGAAAAAAATCTGTTAAAAACTAAGTGAAATATTGAAATTTTTGTAATATCGAATTTTAATTTTTCATATTGATAGCAAAATCTACGATATGCTATTTTAGCCTAAAAATTTTTTTCTACTCGACATATTCTTTCTTTTTCGGGCTTGTTCGAAAGATAAATAAATAGGGTAACGATCGGATTCAAAAATGTGTTCTACTACACTGAAGACATAGTCATGCCAAATATCAAGCATTAAAAATCAGCCGTTAATTTTTTATAAATATTTGAAGTTACGCTCGAATTATCGCCATTTGAAACGACCGATTAGAGTGACGTCACTCGGCAACAAAATTCAATTGACAGTGACGAGCACTTCGAACTTCGAGCAGGTAGATTTAGATTATGGTTATGTTGTTATGTATGCCATTTGCAATAGATTTGACATTGGTGACACCAGCAGCACATGGCGTGGCAGCGGCGCGACCCGATTATTACTGCATTGTGACGTCACGACCCATAGAAACACGTTTTTGATCGCGTCATGAATTTCGAATTATTTGGTATTTTCAATTGAAGATTTTGGACACCAGAGATAAGATATTATATTTTTTTCCCAATTGCATCATTTATTAGGACGTTTGTTCTTGTATTTTATTATTTATTCCATATTTAATTTAATGTGCAAGTTCCCTATTGAACGGCTCACACAAGATTACACTTTTAGGACCAAATTATGGACTGACTGGTAAACGTCTGGTTGTTACCTAGCAAGTACTTTCTATGCACTAGAGAATAAAAAGACATTTACCAGTTGGTCCATAATTTGGCCCTTATGCAGGTAATTTTATAACTTACCTAGTCAACATTTTATTGTTAAGATTTTGATTCTCACAAAAACTTTCATAAAATCGTATGTTTTAGTAATTTTCTTTTTATGAGATAAAGGTGATAAATACTGTTAGTAGGATGGAGCCTGGTGTCATAATAGCCGCTTTACTATCATCTATAAAAAAAAGCAAGTTGCGGATTTTATAGAGCCCGTTGACTGCCGCCTATAAGCCCAGATTTGAATCCATGCGATTACTTTCTATAGGGGGACTCAGAAGAAAGAGTCCACAGAAATGGGGCTACGTTCAATACTTTAGAAGAGCTGCGCAACCGAATCATCGAGTGTTGGGGAGAACTGGAACAACGTAACATTGCCAACTCTATTGATTCTAGGCGTAGACGTTGACGTTTAGCATGAGTTGTTGATGGTATCGCTCCTTTAATGTGTTTTCTTAATTTTTTAAGAAAGGAGCTGGGATTCTGGGATATCTTTAATTTTTTCTCAACATTCAAAATCTTTATCCAAATCGTTACTCTATCTATTTATCTTTCGAACAATCTCGAAATAGAAAGAATATGTCGAGTAGAAAAAAAATTCTAGCTAAAATAGCATCTCGTGGATTTTGCTGTCAACATGAAAAATTAAAATTCGATATTACAAAAATTTCAATTTTTCACTTAGTTTTCAACAGATTTTTCTGTTGAGGTCTTAATATGTTCGCAAAATGATGAACTTTAAGAATTTATTTAAAAAAGTTATACAGGGTGTAACAAAAAAGTTCCAGCGCTATCCAAAACTAGGCAATTTTTGAAGAAGTCCGCCATTTTGATTTTTTTTTCAAATGTCAAAAGTTTTACTTTGATTCGTTAGTCTGTTCATTTCTCTTTCAAGCAAACCAAAACAGAAGGAAGTTGGTCAACAAAAAAAAGTTACAGCTCAAAAATAAAATTGCCATATCAGTGGACATTTTAGGAATAAATTCAACTTGTTGCTTGTTCAATATGGTATGTCTTACTAGATGAGATGAGGCTAGAAGAAGCACAATAGACCTATTCAGATCGCGATGTGGAGATGTCCATTACCTAAACACCCCTATACCTAATCTAATTTAATCTACTTAATACCAAATTATCATTCTAAGTATATGTAACGTTCTACATCTTCCCATCCTATTTATTTCTTCCTCACTTGGTCGGCGGCGCCTTCTTCCTCTTGGCTTCCACTCAAATGATTAGCTTGGGTTTTCTCGTCTGCCATTCTTTGTACATTTCCAAACCAAATCCGTTGTTTGTCTTTTATATCATCTACAATTACCATTCATATTATTTCTCTAATTCTCTGGCGCTCTTCCATTTTTTGAGAAGCTATACTGTTCTTGTGCCGTCTCCTCTAAGAAGGTTAGCTATCATCACCTTCTATTCGCATTTTTGATGCTGCAGCTCTAAACTATTCTATGGAACTACAGTTCTACCCTACCATTGTCTTAAGTTATTTAACCAGGAAATGTGTCTTCTACCCTGTATCTTCCCCTGCATAATGTTCTGCAATACTACATATCTCACTTCTTATCATGTGCTCCAGATAACATAACATAAATATATTACAGAACTTGTGGTAAGTATGTATAAAAATCGGTTTTATGTACAAACAGTTTTCGAACATTCTATATTAGAATAGAATATACCATCTGTATGTGCGAAACAACTCAAAATTAGGAATCGTCTTAAGAATAATATTTCTCTCTACACTTAAATTATTTCCTGATGAACAGATAACAATAAAAATCTAAACCTTGAAAACTACATTTAGAACTCTACATGCTAAAGTGAACATCAAAACCAGCACTTAAACCAAGACCATTTGGTGAAAACAAATTTTCTACATTCATAACTTAAGTCAAAGACATACAGAGAGCGATCATTTAGGATATCCTTTGAGCATAACAATAGGGTGGGAAATCGTTTCTTCTTTTTAAACGTTATTTTAAGTGTAATTTTGAACCATATTTAAAGGTTTCAAGGAGCTCTGATACAAGCCACCCCATATGACCAGTCCATAACATATAAAGGATTTCACCAAAGCCTTGTAAACATTATAGGCATATTCAAACCCAGTATATCTCTTAGAATATAGAATTTATGTCTCAATTCTCGAATGTTGCCAGTTAGTCTAGATACATATTGGTCCCATTAAAGGTTTATATCAATAAGGATACCCAAATACCTCATACTTTTCACCTTTTGTTGGGCCGGTTTGCTAATGTAAGAGAAAATACATTATATTTAGTTTTATTGATATTGCAACTTCTTTAAATTAATTGTGATTAATATATCTTTTTTCAAATGCTCTTAATCGATTACTAATGTTTTTCTTCAACATCCAAGATTCCATCTCACAAAGTAGCACCGAAAAGACATAGCAACTCAATATTTTTATTCTGACTCTGAGGGGTAGATTAGGATCTGTACTGCACAGTAGGTACTACTCATTTTGTTAAATATGTGTCTGGCTTGTCAAATTATTGATTAAATTTCTTCCATGTATAATCATTTACAATTGTTCCTAAGTATATATTTTTACTGAATTTCTCCATTATTTCTCCTTTGATCCATATATTTTCTTGCTGTTGAACTGATTTTGTTCTTGTCATAAATTTCGTCTTTTTGATATTTAAGGTGAGTCCGTTCTCCTCGCTGCTCAGCACTACTTGATTAACCAGGCTTCGGAGATTTTCTAGTACCAGATTGTTTATGGGTGTTCCATTAAATTTAATTTCCTTTGTTGTTTCCTCCAGTGCTCTCTGCATGATTTACTCTGCATCGAAATTAAATAATATTGATGGCGATTATACATATACTTCCCTTACTCCACATTGGATTTTTATTTTTTCTATCTAAATTAGTGGTCTGGAATAAAAGGCTAACATCAGCTCGCCTAAAAAAAAAAAGGCAGCTGCTAGGAGCCCCCTTCTGTTGTCATGTTACTTATCTATTTTTTTTTTTTTAATTTCAGTCAACAAACTAAAAAAATGTCAGGTGACAATAATTTTAAAAGCCTCCCAGAAGAAGCACCAACCAACACCACAATGGAAGAGATCAAGACTGATAAAATAAAAATGAAAAAACACATGGGTCTTCTGGAAGGTGTAGCCATCATACTGGGCATCATATTTGGTTCTGGAATTTTTATATCACCAAGAGGCGTTATCCAAGAAGTGGACTCCGTTGGGTTCTCCTTAGTCGTGTGGGTTCTTTGTGGACTATTGTCCATGATTGGAGCCCTATGCTATGCCGAATTAGGAACCTGCATACCCAAGTCGGGTGGTGATTATACTTATATCAATGAAGCTTATGGGTCTTTGCCTTCATTTTTGTATTTGTGGGCTGCCAATGTGATATTTGTGTAAGAATATTATTTATTTATTTATTCACTGACACTAACCATTTGTTAGAAAAATATTTTTGAAATTGAAAAATACCTACATAGATTTTTGACAAAAGAAGAGTAAAGAAGGAATTTACTCAATAAATACCAAGTAGCAGTGAAGTTACACCTTCTTGCATCAAAACGCTTATTATATGCTCATTAATTAATAAAAATACTATTATAGGAATACGATATTTATTTTAATCTTGTGATTTTTTTAGTCCCACAACAAATTCGATTATGGGACTGACTTTTGCGAAATACGTGATACAACCATTTTTTCCTGACTGTGACATGCCTGATTTAGGCGTGAGATTAGTTGCTGCTGCTGTAATTTGTAAGAATTATCTAATTACTTTATTTTAATGTTTTCTGAAATACAATTTTTATTTAAGGTTTTCTAACATTCCTAAACGGATACAATGTGAAAGCTACAATGAAATTGCAAAATATTTTCATGTTTTGCAAATTGGGCGCACTCGTTTTGATAGTTTTAATTGGAGTCGTATGGATGTCTTTGGGTAACATGGGCAATTTTTCGAATTCTTTTGCTCATACTACTCGGAATCCTGGTAAAATTGCTAAGGCATTCTATAGTGGCATCTTTTCTTATTCTGGATGGTAGGCAATGAACGTAATTATTTATTTGATTAACTTGTTAGGTCTGAACATGCTCATTTTATTTTATATAAATGATAGAGTGAACTCTGTATTGGTTGTCAATGCAAAATTTATGGAATGTATCCAACATTAAAACCATTATGGATATTATGGACTTCTTGGAATAAAATGCGCATGTTCAGGCTTGTGGCACCCTAGGGGTCTACCTGCAGCCTTAAAAAAAATATTTTTCTAGGAATTATTTGAATTTTATGACTGAAGAACTTCAAAATCCATTTGTGTAAGTACATAAAACTTTATTCATTCCATCTTTAAATTTTCATTTTTTTTTTTAGAAATTTACCAAGAGCAATCTATATTTCCCTACCCCTTGTAACTGGTATCTATGTTCTGGCAAATATGGCTTATATGTCAGTATTGACTCCAGACCAAATAGCTGCCACAGATGCCATTGCTGTGGTAAATATTTTTCTATTCATAGCTAAAGCGAAATGTACACTATTTTATTTTAGACATTCGGCAACGCTGTCCTTGGAAAATATAGCTGGTTCATCCCGATACTAGTGGCAATCTCAGCATTTGGCGGACTGAGTGTACACATAATGTCTTCGTCCAGAATGCTGTACGCTGGAGCAAGAAATGATCAATTCCCAATTATGCTAGGACATTTGAATGTGAAAACTTTGACTCCGGTGCCTAGTTTGTTCTTTTTGGTAAGCTAGTAAATGCTTGGTTTGGGCATTATTATAGGGTATACATTTTTTAGAACATACTTTCCCTAATCATGCTTTGCTCCAGTGACATTCAGCTTTTGATTCACTATTGTACAATTGTTGAAACATTTTTTGTTACTCTGTCAGTTTCTGGAGTCCTATACATGAGGTAAATTGTTTAATAAACAAATGTATAAATTCTTATTGGTTCAAATTTTAGATGGAAATATCCAAAAATGGAACGACCAATCAAAGTCCACATTGCAGTTCCAATTATTTTCGTGATTATTTGTGTATTTCTGTTGATTTTGCCTGTTGTCGAGTCACCATTGGTACTACTGGGTGGTTTATTGATTACTTTGAGTGGAGTCCCAGTATACTATTTTGGCATTATGCAAGGAAAGAGACCAGAGAAGTTCGAGAACTTTATGAGTAAGTAAACAGGTAAAGTGTAAAGACACATTGCAAACAGGTTCTTGCTGAGACCCTACAAAGTAACAACTGTACTGTTAAAGAGTGGACAAACCTGGTAGATATTCATTTGAGAATTCAGGCAAAATGTCATCATTTGATGATGATTTGCCTCTTTTTTGTTATTTATTCAAGAAATTTAATTAAAAAAAAAAACGGTATACAGGGTGTTTCAAATTCGAGCCACATCTTTGGGAAACCATGAGAGATACTTACAGGGTTAGTTAAATTAGGGCAAAGTTGCTTAACAAAATCTTGCTTTTATATTTAGCATAATGCAAATACATCCTGAGATATCCGGAAAAAAAACGAAATTTTGCAAAATTGTAACATTGTTTTACTACAGCTAATTAACTGTGTACAAAGTCAGATAAAACCCTACATGTTTTGTTTTTTATTTACAGAGCACGCAACGATTTTGTGCCAAAAAATATTTTTGTCTGCGCACGAGGACGAGTAACAAAAATAGTAATTAATGGAAGAAAGCTATAAAACTAAATTATTTAAATTTAAATATTTCTTTCTTATTCCCTTCAAACTGCTTTAATGTTGACAATGCTTTGCCACCAGTTCAATTCTGGCTAATAATTTTTGTATTTTTTGAATCTCAAACCCTTGGTTAATTTTTTTAATTTTTTTTTTCTTTCTTCTTTCTACTTTGAGCATGTATGCAAATGAGGTCTAAATGGTCTTGCCTGATTTGCATCCGTGTACGCGGCCCTATATTTTTTGTACTTAAATTATATGTATACAGGGTCAATAATTATTGTAGCTGAATTTAAGGTTTTTGTGTTCATTTCTCAAGGATGTTCTTCATTAAAATTGCTCAAAAGTGATGTGAGTGGTTGAAGTTGAAACATGTGACTGAATTTATTTGTCACAACTGTATTTAGTAAAGTTGCTGCTAAAACATTGCTTTTGCTGTTGATACTGAGTAAAAATTAAATTGGTTTATGGCAAGTTTGTCACTCCTCTGATCAGAAATTGCTGCTTTTTTGTTGTAAGTAGAATCGAGACACGAGTGTCTTTTTCTTACACTTCTGATATGGGAATTAGGGAGCAAGGATTAATTTTCTCTTAGCGTGCCATTATTAGCAAAATAAATTTTTCTTCTTGGAAAATGCATTTACAATGAAAATAATCATCATAAAAGACCTACTGGGTGGTTTGTGAATGCTGCTGAAAGATGCTAACTTCTAGATTTTTTGCTCAATAACTGCAGTGATTACAGTTAAGTTTTGCGGACTTAGCATTGTGAATAGTTATCTATTATCTATTGAATTTATGTTTTTAATCAGATTCAATCGCAACCATTCCATCATTATAGAAGAACATCGTTGAGTTTAGATCTAAGTTTTAGTACAATATTTGAAGTAAGTTTTTCCTAATAATATCTAATAAGTTTGTTAATTAACCAAAAATTAGGTTTGTGATTTATTACGGTTTTGCTCAGTATTTAGTTTTAGTTTGGTTTGTTAGGCACCTATTTGTTTTTTAGAATTAATTTTGTTTTGCCTAATTTGAGTGGGAAATTTAATGCTTAGTAAAATAATTGTAAATATAAATTTAATTTCGGGAAACTCCCAGTGATTCTGAAAAATCCTTTTCATTTTGTAACGTTATATAAATATAAAATATTGTTTTGGAAATGTAGTTGTCATTTGGAAATTGCAATTGTAACATTTATTGCTGGCAAAACAGCTTTGGCTTTATTCATCCATAATGTGTGTTGGAACAAATTAATAGGATTGACCCTTTGTTTATAACGAAAATAAACCAAAAATATTGATAAAAAGCTCAAATGGAAGGTCACTGGACCAAAACTGGTTTAAATTTATTTGGCACATGCTTGAAAAGAATTCAAAAACAGGAAAATTATGAATTTTTCTAGTTTAATCGTCTGCGATATAATTAACAGTGTGTTAATGAGTTTAGTGGCACACAAACGTTAATTAAAATCGAAACAATGTTCTTGCTTGGATTTTAGGATTTGGACCCAGGAGCCTAGCATATCCTGGGTTCAAATTCTAGTTGAGGCAAGAACATTTTTCATCAATTTGTTGATAATATAACGCTTCTACCAGCCAATTAAAAAAAAATGCAACTCTATCATCTGTTGTTTTTACTCCAGACACCATTGAGGAGTATAATCCATTATGAAAAACCTTTCTTTGGTCAAAGTTTCTTCGAACAGTGGGAATATAAAAATTGTCCTCATTTCCAGTGTTTCGGTCGTGTACACTGCGTAAGGGTATACAAAAGTCTTGTAGATTCTCTGGCACGATTTCGAATATAAAAATAAGTGTTTGTAAGTATTATAAATTTTTTGATAGACATTTAGAACCCCCACAGCTTGTAAGTCTCTATACTTGTACGTCGATTACAGTTGAGAACACGTAGTGCCATGTTTTGTCTCTTTTATATTTGTGCTATTTTAGAATTAGTTCAAGTGAACAATACTGTTGGAGTTCGACAATACAACAAATGTGGTTGTATAACAGATTTATAAATTAAAGTTTTTTGTCCACGCAGTAATAGTATTACGCAGACGACCCAATGCATATACTTTTTTCGCTATTTTCCTTGTCACATAGGTCGCATGGTTGGTAAGGCCTGAGTTATTCAATTCCTTAATTCTTAATATTTGTCGTTAATTCTTAATTCTTAAAAAGTTCAATTTATTTAACATTGGTGTTTTTAAAGATTAAGAATTAAGAACAAAAATTAAGAATTAAGGAATTGGGTAACCCCGGCCTAAAAGTTAGATGTTGGTAGGTAATAACCTCCAGATACTTGAATTCCGTCACTTTTTCTATTAAAATGACCTCTATTTCTACACCGTGATGTAATTGATCCTCTCGCGCCGTGCCCCTATTTTTCACCATCATAAACTTAGTCTTTTCAATATTTAATTTCAGATTATTGTATTGTAACCACCTTGAAAGGGATTTCAGTTCTTTGTTAATGGTTTTGACTATGTGTTGTACATCATTTCTAATGAAGTACAACAATGTATCATTTGCAAATGGTTGTATGTTACAATTTTTTGTCCATTTTACAATGATGTTAAAATATATAATGAACAAATCTGGAGCCATTACAGTCCCTTGCGGTACTTCCAGTGTGATTTCCCTACTCGGTGATTTGGTGTTGCTATATCTTGTTTTCTGTGTCCGGTCCTGCAAGTAACTTTCAATTCATTCTAAAGCATTTCCACATAATCTTAAACACTAATTTTTTTATTAAAAATGGCCTACCTATGGTTTCAAACGCTCTACGGAAGTCAAGGAAAACGGCATCCATGAATAGATTCTCTTCTAATGCAGATTTTCAATTGGCCAAAATTTACATTTTGAAGAGCGGTCTCACAGCTGTTATTCTTTCTAAATCCTGCCTGGTAAGTTGTCAGTAGTCTATTTTCTTCTATATATTGAATTAATTATTTTTTTTTTTTTACACTGGATTGTAATAGCAAAAAAAAAATGGCAAAGGTTGGAGTTTCTTTTTTTTTTTTTAATTGGAGTACTTAACAGTTGTTGTTTTTCGTGTAGGCGGAAATTTTCCAGTTACTATACTTCTATTAATTACTTCTAGGAATTGATTTCCAGTGGCTTTGAATGATAGTTTTAAAATCTTTGTGTTCATCCCATTTATACTATTCTTTTTGTAGTATAAATCTTTTACTGTGTATACCACATTGCACTTGGTTCATCTTTGAGATAACTTCCATGTAAGTTGTTTCATTGCATGTTAAATTACTTATTTCTGCCACATTATCAATAAAATACGCATTGAAACCTTCCGCAACAGTACTTGGCTCGGGCAGCAGTTTTCCATCAAATTCAATTCTATTTTTTAGTGTACACTTACTTCTCTGCCTCAACTTATCCTTCTCTCCTTCTCTGTTCTGTGTTATAACTGCTCTTTTATAATATACCTATATCTCGTTGTTTTATTTCTCCCCCTATTTTATTTCATCTGTCCACCATTTGCTGTTTTATTTTAATTTTCTTTAGTGGAACATGTTGGTTTAAAGTATTCGATATGTTGGCTACTAGTCGTAGTGACGTTTCCTCTAAGTGTAATTCAGAGTTCTATTCCTTATCTAGCAGATTAGGCTGAAATTCCAGTTCATTAATCTGCTGTAATCGCGTAGGTATTGTCTTTCCTTCCGTTTTATATTTTGTTTTTCTATCTAATTCCATCAAAGTTATAATCACATGATCTGTAATTTTTAGTGTTAAATGTGTTCCAAAATCACTGTCTTCACATCTAGTAACCAATAAATCTATTATTGAGGCTCCTTTTCCAGTAATTCTCGTAAATTTATCCATTTGTTGGTAAACTTCCAATTCTGTTAAAATTGTCTTCAGTTTTCTTGAATAGTAGGTGTCAAGTGCCATGTTTATATTAAAATCACCAATAAAGGATTAGATTGCCTTCTTTGATAAGTAGCAAAATATCTTCTAATGCTTCAATGAACTGAGCGCCACTCGAGCTAGGGGAATGGTACAAGCATGCAATAATATATTTTATTCCTCAGAGGTACTTCTTTAGGAGTTAACCATAAGTTTGGATTAATAACAATATTTTTTTATTTCCTACCACCTGTATGAAGATTTTTTGCATATGCACCGACGTACTTATATCCGTTAAGACGTTTTTCATTTCCTCTGACAGGGCTCTGTGGATGGTGGATGAACATGGCAACAGACAGAGAAGAATGGAGAAGACTGGGGGAGGCCTATGTCCAAAGATGGACTGAAGAAGGCTGAATAGATAGAACTCTACATTCTGTACATAGCGGAGTTCCGAAAGGCTCAGTACTTGGCACAATTATGTTCCTCATTATATAAGCGACCTAATCCAACTAATGCCAACTAATCTCAAGACCAATGTCAGTTTTTTCGCAGATGACACCAAAGTCTTCTGCAATCCTATCACCAGCAGTAAAGTCATAAAATCCGACGGTATCCGAGTGGTGTGAGAACTGGCTGATGACCCAACGAAAACTGAAAACCAATGCACTGTACTCTACATTGGCACCAACAATGCCCTATATGATTACAAATTTAATAACAAATCTATACTAATCAACAGAGAGATCTTGGCGCCATTGTAACCAACAATTTAAAATCAGAAGCGCATATCTCTAAATGTATTATTAAAAGGGCTTATTCTCTGGCCTACTTGACGCAAAAAGCATTCAACTCAGTTACAACAATCCTAAAAATATACAAGTCCTACATCAGACTCATACTAGAGTATGCCCATGCCCAGTCAGTCAGGAATCTTTAAGGACATTGAGCCATTGGAAAAAGTCCAACGAAGAATTACTAAAATTCCACTGAAAACCCAAGACCTCACATATGAAGACTGTCTAGTCTAAAGGAATTCAACCTAACTACCCTACGTGACAGGAGATCTAATGGCAACTTATAAAATCTTAAGTAATTACTACTCTGTTAACTTGAATATACAGTGTGTCCACTTAAGTTCGCAGCATATGGGAAACTTTTTTATTATCAATTTTACGAAAAAAAGTTATTCTTTATAAAAGTTTCTACTTCTTGAAAAAATACTATTAAACTATTGAAACTTGAAATAGCATGTACAGGGTGGCCCAAATTCGAGCCTCATCATTGAGATCTCGGTAACCGTAAGGGATACGGGGTCGGTTAAATTATGGCAAAGTAGGCTCCTTGCATCAAATTTTTTTATTGCTGATTTCGATAGTCCATGAAAAATAAGTCAACACGTGTTTTTTCTTTTTCTTCTTAGTCAAAAATTGACGGAGATACAACACTATGAAATCTGCCTATGACGTCACTTATCTAATAAATTAGTGACGTTGCACATGCTCAGTATATCTATATATACAAAACCTAATATTTGAATAACTTCTGGAATAATCATATTTGGGCGAAATAAAAAAAAAAGTAACGATTTTTTTTCGACTTCCTACAGTTTGTAATAAACAATAATCAATTTAATTTTCCATGCAAGTACCCTGTTGCGCAATTTTATGACCAATAGAATGCCGTTTTGAAACTAGAAAGATTCCGAATACTTCCGGAGATATTCGGAAAAAACGGAAATTTTGTAAATTCGTTTTTATTTTTTCCCGGGCTTATTTGAAAAGCAATTTTAAAATAAATGTCACTTCATATTGTCACTTTTTCCCCTTTAGAAGATGATGCTACTAAATTTAAAATTCGACGTTTCGTCTTCAGGCGGCCATCCTCAACTTACGTTTTTTAAAGCACCTAGATTTTTTATTTGCGATTTTGTCATCTTTGGGCATTTTAAAATTGATACTGTTTATAATTTTTCAATAACACGGTAAAAAAAGCAGGTCCGTATTTAAAAAAAAAAAAATTGATGATGATTCCAGAGGAACGAAACTTTGGATTTCAAGTTTAATACCGCCATCTTGTAGAGAAGAAAAAGTGACAATGGCAATGTGAAATTAATTTTTCAAAAATGGAATCAGGAAAAAATTTAAGAAAAACGAGAAATTCATGTTTATTTCGTATAGTTTTAATTTTTTCATGATTTTATTTAAAAAGATTGTGGAAAACTAATTTTACATTCCCATTGTCACTTTTTTTTTCTCTACAAGATGGTGGTATTAAATTTAAAATCCAA